CGCAGGCTGCACAGAGGGCCCTCTGCTCGTAGCCTGGTATGTGAGCTCCAGTACTTGCCCACTCTGTGGCTATCATGCAGGGCACGCCACATGAAGTCCCTTGTCTTCTTTGAAACCGGGTCTTTCCGTAGGAGGCACCATATGGCACTCTCCCCAGGCAGCACTGTTGTTACATGCTCCATGTCCGCTTGGACACAGAGGATGGTGCGGGTCGTTGCCACCCTTCCTTTCAGTGTGTTCCATTCACGCACTCCCTGGTATGCTAGTCGCTGTGTGAGGTAGAGGAGGGCGGCACCCCGCACATTATACCGGTCCGGCGCTGGCAGGGAAAGGGGGCGGAAGGGCAGGGGAAGGGTAGCAGCCTCCCCAGCCAGGCGGTCCGCCTCCTCATTCCCCCGGGTACCAGCATGCCCTTTGATCCATTTGAAGGTGGTAGGGGCACTCCGCATTCTCAGCAGGCCCACCAGCTCACGTAGGGCCCCGGCATTTGCCACACCTAACCACCCTCTGCGCTCCCACATTGGGAGGTGTTTCGTTAGGCCGTCCACAACATACTTGGAGTCACTCACTACATGCATGGGTGCAAAGGGTGGGGTTTTGCGGCAAGCCATGGTCACCGCATACACTTCTGCAATCTGGTTTGTCTGTTCGTCATATGGGACCCGGGCTCCTTCATTCCGCCCATCCACCTCCCCAAACCAGACACCGCTGCCAGCACAGGGCCCCCCCAGGCCGGTCTGTCTCGCTGAGCATCAGTGTAGACCTCCACGGCCTCCTGGAGAACCTGGAAGTCACTCGGGGGGCGCAGGGCAGGCCTATGGTCGCGGGTCGCGTTGGGGACAAAGACTCGCAGTGATTCAGCAATGGGGAGGTCAGTAGCCATGGAGGGATCAAACAGGACTCGGTCATGGGAGATCCGGGCCGAGGCATTCTTCCTCTTCCTTCGCGAGGTGAGGGTTAGGCCATCCACGTTGCCCTCCCGGTGGGGATGCCACTTCTCCATGAGCTTGCTCAGGATTTTGGCTGCGGCCATGGCACACCTATGCGGGTTTGTGCATCTATACAAGCTTCGGTCGCTCTCACAAGGGTCACAGGGGCAGGAGGCACGCGGTAGGTGGTTTGCAGCCAGGTCAGTAAGTCTTGCCATGGCCTGTCCACACTGCGCTACAGTTCTCACCTGGTGTGCATCACGGAGGCAGCGGCATCCAGGCGAGTTTTCCAAGGTACGGCCGGGCGCACGGCCAATGTGGTTCCAAACTGGGAGCTGCGCCCGCAGATTAACTGTTGGGTTTTGCACTTCGCATCTGACACCATATTTTCTGGCGGCCTTCATCATTTCCTTGAGGCAGCGCGGCATGCCTGAGGCTGTGCGCGTGCTCACATTCCAAGTCTGGAGGAAGGTGTTTATCCTTGCTGCGGCCTCCGTGTTCTTCGAGTCTGAGGCCACTGCCCTTGCTAGAAGCGCGTCTGCCAACAGCGTCCAGGCGGGTCTGCGTAGGCCAATTCCCAGGTACGTCTTCAGCCACATGAGGTGTATGGCATCATTGCGGGCCCTTATGTCCAGGAGCTTCAGGCCCCCACGGTTGATGGGCTCATACAGCCTTTCCCTGGCTACGCGGGGGTGCACGTCCCCATTCCACAGGAATGTTAACATTATTTTTGTGAGTTTCTTCTCCACACTCTCCGGCATGGTCTGTACCATTGCGCGGAACTGGGTTCGCCCAGCCAGCTCTATCCCAATGGCTAGTTTCCTGCCATTCAGGGTGGGCTTGCTCTTTCCCCACTTGGCTAAGTTGTTTTCAATGGTTGTGATCACGGGGAGCCAGGGGGCAGCATGGTCCATTCCATTTCCAAGCCAGGCACCCAGTGAGCGAATCGCCTCCCCGTCCTTGACTATGTGTACTGAGTCAGGAATTGCGCTCCCTGTCTGGGAGAGGCGGCGCGTCTCAATCACAGTCTTCCGATATGCGGCAGTTCCGATTGGAAGGATCTCTGTTTTTTCCACATTGAAGCGGGCGCGTGCAGCTCTGCACCAGCGGTCAGTAATTTGTCTGACTGACTCATATTCATCGTCACTGCTAAGGTAAACAGTTGTGTCATCAGCAAATAGTTTTGCGATGAGCCTCTCTGTTTCCCCCGGTATGCGGAGCCCACGCAGATTTGATCCCCGCAGCGCACATGCGAGCGGTTCAATTGCAACATCGAAGATCAGGCAGGAGATTGGATCTCCCTGCCTGACTCCACGGATGATGTGGAAGAAGGTGCTGCGCACTCCATTAATGATGGTACAGCTTTCTGCACCAGCATAGAGGTGCTGTAGCGTGCGTATAAAGTTCTCAGGGAAGTTCATGTGTCTTAGGGCAGCCCACAGGTAAACGTGGTCTATTTTGTCATATGCCTTCTCCTGATCCAGTGCCACAATCGCACCGTTAATTTCCTCCGCCTCTGCGTACTCAATCATAAGCTGGGACAACTTAATGTGGTCAAAGATGCGCCTCCCCGGTATGAAGCCTGCCTGGTCCGGGTGTATTAGGGCAGGCACAACCTCCGCGAGTTTGGAGGCCAGGGCCTTTGTCATGATCTTGTAGTCAGAGTTCAGCAGCGTGATCGGTCGGTAGTTCCCGATCTCACGCTTATCTTTCTTGAGTTTGTACACTGGGCAGATCCAGCCATGCGCAAAGTCCGACCCCTGGTTGATTCCATATCTCTCAATGTCGTTGTAGACCTTTGTCATGGCCGCAGGGAGGTCCACTGCAGGTGCACCTCTCTTCATGGCCGCTGTGTACCATCTGCTGTATGCCTTCCACACCTCGGTTGGGAGCCCATCCAGGCCGGGTGCTTTCCCCTGAGCGGCGTCCTTGATTGCATCTGACACATCGTCCCTCGTCAGGGCGCGGGCCAGGTCCGCTTTTGCTTCATTGTCCAGTCTAGCAGTGGTGTCCGCTAGGGCTTCTACAATATACGAATCATGGTCTTCGCCCTCCTCCAGCGGGTCGTCCTGCTGTAAGTCATCATAGAAGTCCCGGGCTATCTTCGCCATTGTCTTGGAATGATTCGTGTAAACTGGTGGGTTGGAGTTGGGCTGGAGCATAGTGTACATCACTTCAGTCACCTCTGGGGTGGTGTTCCCCCTCATCCAGTACTTGGTCATGGTCTCGCTCTGCGCCCAGTGCCTGGCTGCAACCTCCTTTCTTTTCCAGGCAAAGCGCTTCTGCTCAAGCTTTATCAGGCGGTCCTGCAGGATAGCAGCTCTTTGCATCCGATCAGGGGAGAGCTCCTCAGGTTGCTGAGGGCCCTCGCTGTGGGGCTGCTGGAGGGTTTCTCTAAGATCACTCCTCAGCCTCTCCATCCTTTTCTGCATTTTAGGGATCTTCTCTTTGGCACGTGTTCGCGCCGCCTGGATCAGCTTGTGTTTAAAGTTTGCGTATAGCGTTTGCGGGTTCCGTTCTGGTGTCCTGGTGGTCAGGCCGTTGATGTCACGGACCAGTTCAGCTCCGAGCGTTATCATTGTCTTCTTCATATCCTCATCCTCCAGGAGGTGCGGTTGCATGACCCAACGGCCTTTCCCTATAAAGGGTGCTTTGTAATTCTCCACTGCCACCACCACCATCAGGTGGTCAGTTGGTATCCCTGGCTCTACGATGCTCCAGTCCGAGCAGTCTCGGGCCATTGCACGGCGGACATATATTCTGTCCAGCCTTGACTGGGCTGAGGTACTTTCCTGGAGGTACGTGAAGCCCTTTTCCAGGGGGTGGGCAGGTCTCCATCCATCAAGAAGTGTGTGTTTGGCGCATAGGGCTTGCAGGGCTTCCCGCGGTGCTTCTGGGTCCTCTCGGGGTGGAAGCCTGTCCGCCCTATCTTCAACTACATTACAATCCCCCAGCAGTATGTCTATTCTTCCCAGGTTTGCATTCTCAATGGTCTTCCAGAAGTTGGCATTTGCTGCGGCCTCGTTCGGGGCATATACGTTTAGGATTTTGAGTGTACGGTCCGCGGCCCACCGC